CCTTTTATCTCAGTTATGCGACGATGCTGCTATCAATTTTTTTATGATATCAACCGCGAACCTTTCAAAATGCGAAAGCCTTATTATCGAGTACCTCTAAGTCCCGGCACATTTATTTATTGCTTTGTTGCCTATGTTTAAAAAGTAAACGATCACGCTTTAAGCGTCACTAGCTAGCATTGTTTGTCCCGTTTCGTGATTAATTTATGATTTAACCGAACAAACAGTCGCTGTGTTTGCTCCAGTTTTCGTTAGAAAGTAACATCGAAATTAGAATATCGATTAAGAAATCGCGTGATTGACGAAACTTTATTTTTTCTCTTTCTTTAACAATACGTACTTCAGTTGTAGAATTTTTACAAGAATTGAGAAAAATAATTGGAAACGTTATTCTCGATCTTCGGCGATAATAAATGAAGACTTCTTTCTGTTCTTTCTTACTCGAATCACTGAAAGATTGGTAAATCAACAAAGTCTGTTTTCGACACTTCAAACAATCGGAAAACGTTCCCAGACTCGAATGTCCCTGATATAAAATGATGACTTCCCGTTATTTATAACTCAAATACGTCAGCCGCCACAGTAGAAAGCATTTAGCTGTTTTCCATGCAGCTGATTCTCTAGAAGATGTCTCGGCAATAAGAGACAACGGACGATTCCGGTGAATGTGAACAAATTTTTGGCCACGAACCTTCAGATTAACCTCCAGTTATTCGAATAACTAATGAAACAATTTCCCAACTAGTTTTCAAATTAACAACAAGAGTCGTAATAAAAATGATAAAAAATGAGGAAAAGTAGAGAACATTTGATACGCTAATCAAGATAGGGGTGAAATTTACAAATTCAACATTTCGAAAGATTAACATCATAAATATCATAAAAACAAGCCACAAATTATTTTCCAGATTTCACTTAGCACATTTCAACGCTACAAATACTGGCCGGGTCAAACATGACTCATTAGCAACTTTCCAAGAAAAAAGCTTCTACTACTACCTGCATCGATATGAATTTAATTCTGCAATCATACTTCAGTTAAATAAAACTTCACTTCTCGAAAGTTACCAATGGGTCGTTTACGATCCAGACGGTCCTTCTACTGCTAAATAAATGTTCCATTCGCTGTGAACAACGCCTCTCTCCACCCTCGGCACTCGCCACCATCAATTGATTTCCTCGTTATGTCGTAATCGGGCATAAAAAAAAAAAACTCATCCTCCTAGGATCCGTCGAACGATTCATCTCCGCGCGCCGAAGATAATCGAACTACTACTCTCCCCGGCTACACAGTCGCATTATTTACTCCTCATTATCATCCCTGAACCAGGCTGCTGGCAGCGTTCCTCCTCGTTTCCACCTCTTAATCGGGGAATAATAAAAAATCATCCCCATCGCGCGCGATGGCTTCTCAATAAAGACATTGTCCGCGAAGCAAATTCTTATCCGTGAAAAGGCGACGTTGACGAGGAAAAGGGGGGGTGGAGGAGGAGAGGGAGAGAGATGGGGTTGGTTGGTTCCGTTCTACCCTCTTCGACGAGGGAGAGATGGAAAGGAGTCACGCTGGGTTGGATTATCAGCTTCGAGATTACAACAAGGCTGAAGCGAACGATTTCCTTCGAAACGGGA